GCTTAGATAATCAGTTTCTGAACTGAGCTTGAGCAGAGAAGCCATTCTTCGAAGGTCTGCAGGTTAGAGGGGAAAAACAACATGAGTGCCTCAGATCTCACAAATAATTTCATTATCCAAATAGGAGAAACAGTTAAAATGTATTTACCAAGAGGCATGCCAGGAATGCTTGATGTCTTCAATGAGATGCAATCCCAAGGAACGAATTTGTTTATTCTAAAGGTCAGAAACAGCCATCACATGATGTCTTCACACATTTTAACCCATTCTCTTTTTGAAGCTGAGTAGACATATCAACATGTACCAAATTACAAAGCATAGTGCTGCAAAACACAATATCTATTGTGGTATATAATGGATTATTATTAATATTATTATCATTATTATAAATTACTATTTTAGACTCTAATTTTAGACTCAACCTTTAGAGATAAATGTATACTATACAATTACTTAAAGTATTGCAAGGTTTACAATATTATGGTCACAATAGGCCAATGGTTCTATTAAAACTATTTCCATAATTACTGTATATAGTTACAGATAAAAGGGCTGTGGTCAACATCCAGCTAATATCAACATTTGCAGTTCTCGGGAACTTCAAAGCAAGAAAGGAACTGAGGTGTTTAGTGAGATGTATGGGGTCTGAGACACATTGATCAAAGGAACTGACTGGTTTACCTTAGTTAATTGAGTTCTTGGATATTCATTAAGAATAATAAAATTCCAGGTAAAACAGCATAAGAATTCAGAGAAAAAGGATAAAAAAACAGGTAGGCAGAGAGGGGAAGGGAAGGACATAGGAAGAGACAGGAAGACACAGAGAGAAGTAAACGTGCCAGGCAAGAGGTCCTTGTCCAAATCATCCATAAAGACCAGATTCAAGTTAAGTATTTGAACCTCTGATTTCCTGTTCAGAGAATCCCTAGGTTAATAACAGCCTCTCCTAGTTTCCGGATTCATTTTTAGATGAGGGAGAAAGATTTCCCATTCACGTTATACAGTAGCATCCAGCTTTATAAAGAGAGAGATTTAGCTGTAGATCATATTCTGTTTAGTTTTGAAGGTAGGTTTAGCTCTCTTATTGGCCAGTGTAGGTGTTACATTTATACAGGATCTTTGAATACTTGATACGTCTGTGCTTTTTCTGGTTGGTCAGGACATAGGTCTCTGGGGCACCTTGTTAGAGCAACTTGTATGTTGTATTTTTATGTTGTGTGAACTTTAGTGTGTGTCTTTATTAGTACATATTTGTTCAACCCAGTATGTTTGAGTTATCACTCTTTTCACCAAAACTGTGATGGAAAACAAAGATCTTAAGAACTTCTGATTATACTTACTGCTTAGGTATGTTCTTGGGATAATCTTTGCAGTTTAGTGGTTATGATTTTCTTAATATACTTTTGGTATTGATTATCCATCTCAGTCTATTTCAACATTCTATATTCTGTAACATTATGCTGTTTGTTTGAAAAGAATAGGTACATTTGCTTTTACTTTTAACTTTTTTAATTGGAATTTTGACCATGTCACTTTTCAATTCACTTTAATTATTCACTACCACAAAACCCCATTTAATGAGAATTGAATTCTCTCAGTAATTTTACATCACCATGCTACACACCTCCTAGCTCTCATCATACGGTGAACTATTTGCATCCTTATGCATACCACCTATTGTTGTGTTTTAGCATAAACTTAATGGTAAATCCTTAAAACTTCTGTTTTCTAGTTTAACCCATATCTATATTCTAAACTTCCTGTATTGTATATTACTGATTCAATTCTCTAGCTTTCAGGTCATTTCTATATAAAATACTCCTACATCACCATCCATCCTGCATCCAGCATCCAGCCAGCAGCCATATCACCCTGCAACTCACAACCCACTGAAACTAAGCATGTGTGAGCCTGGCCGGTAACTGAATGGGAGACCACCTGAGAAAAACTAAGGTTGCTGCTGGAAGAGGTATAAAAGGGGCCAGTAAAGGGAGCTCACCCTGTGGTCCGTGTGGGTCCTAATGCCCCAGTGTAGTGATGGTGACAATGTACTGTGAAAAAGGCATCGTCCTTCGGATGAGACATAAAATTGATGTCCTGACTCTCTCTGGTCATTAAAATTCCCAGGGTGTTTTTCATGAAGGGTAGGGATGATACACTGGTGTCCTTTCCAAGTTTCCCACTCACCTTTTCCAATCATGGCCTCCAAATATTCCCCATCTATGAATTGGCTTCATCACTCTGTTGAGTGGATCATGCTGCATCATCCAAGTGGGGGCTGCACGGTGGTGGAGGGGAGTCTCCAGGACCTGTAAAGTGCTTTGAATGGAGTGTCCAGAAAAACTGTAAGGAATTCTTATTATTATCATCCTGTGCTGACTGCATTGCTGAAATTGTGCATCCATTAATTTTATATTCATTATGTCATTATCTCATAGTCATATTTCAGTTACTCCTATAATATCACAATTCCTACTTATTACAGTAGCCTCACATTCTTGCATTTGATTCAGTATGTTTTTAGCACTGAGGTATTTAGAAATAGAAGAATTATCTTTCTTTGCTTTGTCTCGGATTTCCTTTGTTACCACTAAAATAGCCCTGTTGTGGGCTCCCTGCCCCTTGTTTCCAAGTTTAAATACTTCTCAGCTACTGTACTTCAGGTTCATGCTTCTTCATTATATCAGTGCCCATCTAGTTCAAGTACTATACATTCAACTCTCGTTGTACGGGTCATGTTTGTATCAGAACGATCCCCAGTGGATCACCAATATCTAAAAAAACATACCATCGGTAAATTTCCATACTTCCCCTTGCCTCTCTGGGCTTGTATGTCAGAAAGGTAAAATTACCAGTATATTAACATTTTGCTCCTATGCTTACATGTACCTTTGGTTTTGTCTTGCAGATTCAAGAGCCTGGAGCCAGGAGCCTATTTAATCATGGAGAGATACAAGTAGGTATCCAACCAGGCCAGGCCAGGCGGCCAACACACCCATACAAACCTACCTACCTACACATTTCACATGACACTACTTTAACAATTCACACCTTATCTGTACTCTCTTTGTTCTATTTATTAATTCTTCATACAAATCCAGCCATTTATCTGAATTACAACAGCCTGTAATTTGAGAGAAGACTTTATGGGGAAATATATCAATGGTCTTCTGGAAATCTAAATACACAATGTATTGTGCCTGTATTAATTACTGAGCTTGTCTGTTCAAAGTTCTCTTACAAGTCGGAAAGGCAAGATCTACCTTTTTTTTATCCTTATTATTCACAGGAATGTTATTTCCCTATAGGTGATCTTATCATTGTCTCCATAATCTTACATGAAATAGATGTCAGAATTACTGGTCTATGTATTGGTATGTTTGGAATTACATTGGTTATGATTAGCTAACCAATTCTCATGCATACGTACTGCTATAGATGGACTATAATAGCAGTTCTCCAGTCTGTTTGTACTACCCTTGTTTTGAGCATAGTGACAGTGCTTTAGCAGCATTCACAGATGCACTAGAAATCTGATCATCATGCAAACTACACTGTTAGGTGGCCTCATATTGATATTTTTGCCTCTTATATTACTTAACCTAATATTTTAAAAATAGGTTAGATATTTGTATTAACTCAACCCAAAGCAAAACATTAACCTAATACCTAATTGTATTTGTTACACCAATTTCTAAAGATAGAGATATCTGAAAAATATTAGAGGAAAATAAAAATGTCTAATTAACTATAATTTAACATTTTGTGTTAATACACTGGCCTAACTATAGGACCTTATGTTATATTGTTATATCTATATGTATGGTTGAGGATACTGAGAAATTTGTGAATGAAAGAACCTTTACTAAACAGATAGCCTATGACATGTTAAAATAAAAATATATATTTTAAATGAAGCCCCCGCTACATTAATTGAAAATACGATTACTTCAGACTGTCTGGTTCTTCACTTTTTGTCTTCTTTACTACTTTACTTTTGTCGACTGAGTCACGTCAACGTCACCAAACTGAAAAGATATAGAGGTGACTCAGCACAGCACAGGAAAGATGACAACTTTGTGAATATGGGTGAAAAATTAATATATTACCTATAAGGAAAACAAGAAAGTGTTGGAACTAAATATGTAAAGTTTTTATTAATCAAAGTGAAAAAAAAAAGATAATCAAGATATACAGTACGAGTAAACACAAAAATATATTACTGTAATGTCCAATCTTATCCCACCTTTAGAATTTTAAGAAAACTTTATTATTATTAGTCTGTCTACTCTTGGCAGTATTATCCCTCTTTTCTTTTACATCAATTCTTTTATCAGTGTATTCTGCTATAGCCATTGTCAGACTGTCCCTATGGACACTGAAGATACTATCTTGTTATCACTGTAATAAAACTAAAGTGTTGAGCAGGAAATTGAAAGTGTAGTTGGACAGGAAATAACTGTGCTCTGTCATCATCTACAGTAGAAAACATGTGTTCATGTGCGTATTGCCATCATATCTGATTCTGCCAGTCTTTGTGGTCAGACATTACTAGACTCTTCTTTTTTTATTCAGGGTGAAGTTTATGTATACCCATAATTTAATATTTAATAAAAATGTCTTAAGATGGCAATCAGCTGTGTGTGTACTGTATTTTAAGTGGTTTCATTTATTATCATCTAAACTGAAATAAGAAAATCTATTGTAAGTAGTTTGACCTAGATCAGGTATTAAATGTTGAGACAAAATAATTTTAGTTAGTACATGAGCTACAGAATTGTTGACTTACTAAGGACTATTAAGTACCCCAGCAGGTATCTAAAGCAGTCTAATAATGAGTAAATAAAATAATATATCAATTTTTTAGCAAGCATCAGATAGAGCAAGAACTTTAATTGGGCAATACAAAGCCAATGGAAAGGAAGGATCCCCTTGAGAATTTTCTAACATGCAATGCAATGACAACAACAAAGACAACTCAGGATAAAAAATTATATCAAGTTTTCAACTTTAGTCAAGGGTTTTATTTCGGAAGCGACTTTGTTGTTGGGAGCCCATCAACAAAACGTCATTCGTGTTAAAGTTTGCATTCTTTACCTAATACGAAGCAGATACAGTATATAAAAAGTACAGAAACACAACAATGTTATCAAATTTAAATTGCAAGTAATTCTGAGAATAAGTAATCATAGTAATTAATTAAGCATAAGAATGAAAACAGAAAGTACACCATGGTGAATGATTTAACCAATAAGTTACAGATACAGTACAGTATGTGCTAAAACTGAAATATAGAGGTCCCAGTACAGTACCCTGTGGAACACCCTGAATAAGTGGAACATCATCAAATTAAAACAGAAAAGATTTACTAATTGGTGCCTTCTAGCCAAATAGGAGTCAAACCAATGAAAGGGAGTTCCAGTTCCATTCTATTGTTAACAAAAGATAAATCATCTTGCTTCCCCTACATGCAATTGTTAAAGAATGCAATACCATCAGAAAAATTCTATATACATTTTACACCCCTTTCTCCTTACTTTTTACTAATTCTTGCTAATTCATCTTTCTTATCAGGAAATACTCTAAAGCAGACAACATTAAACATTGATGTGCAAGATTTTTTCTAGGGAGTCTGACTACCAGTGAAACTGTGTTTCACAAGATGCATACTGTATATCCATTTGTCTCTGTTTCTGTTTTTCAAGTTGAACTTTTGTAGATCAAACTTATACCAGTTTAAATGCATGAGTAATGTAAACATGCTGACACTAGTGTCATATCTGCTTCAAACTTGGTTATACAATTTACAAGTTATCTTGGGTATTGAAAATGGATTTTCTGGAAAATATTATGCATTGATTCATATTTGTTTGTGTTAAACAGCTAAAAGCCAGAGACTTCTTTTTCAACAAAAGCACACCTACCTGAGCTGTATCAAAAGGGTCTATGATACAATTACCCCCTCATATCTGAAGTTTCCCCTTAGCTGGATCTATAAATAAACCAGAAATGATTACAGGATGAGTTTAAAAAGCAAATAATATTTTGTGCAGTTTTAAATCTAGAAGATTTTACTGTAACTTAAGTATTTCTTTAGATACAGTAATACTACAGAATGATTAAAAAATGGACCTGTAGTTTTAAAGTCTCTTAAGTTTTTTTAAAGTACAAATAAACTTTAATTTGTTCATGTCATTGTAATGGGTCATTCAAATATCATCTGCTTTACACATTATAATAAAAAGACACATTTGCCATATCTGCCTGACACAAGGCTGCCATCTGTCTGAAGGCATGAAAAATGATTCAAACTCTTTTTTGAATTGTCCAAGTAAACATATAAAAATGAAAGTAAAATATTCTAAAGAAGAAAAAAACAATTGAAATACTGTATCACAAATTTGACAACTAGAAAGTTATCAGAATCAAAGATATCTGTTATTGTCCTCAAACTGTATAATCCTGAATCGATGCTAATGAGATGGACATCCAATACAAATGGCAACCAACTAATAAAATTCACAAAATTAAGTGACTTCTTGAAAGAAATACCTATATTTGCTGAGAGACTGACAGAGGTCGATTATCACTTACTGTTACGAAAGAACTAAGCAAAATCTATTGAGAGCCCCTAAAATCTAAATTGTTCTCATTTATTCATTCTGTTAACACATGTAATGAATCATTAAGCTGTAATTTACTTGCAATGACTGAAAAATCGAAGTACTATAAATGTATTAATAGAAAGAGCAAGTATGTAAAACTATCCCCTTTGAAATCCTAGTGACCTATCTCTTATTTCTACTTTATGCATTTATTTGAAGAATATATTATGTATTTATTTTGAGAATTCAATGTGATCATAATTTGACAAAATGCTTCTAAATTGATATGTATTGACAATAGATAGTTTTTTTTTCCTTTCAGAAACAATAAATTCAAATACAAATAAATAAATGTGCTTTAATAGCTCTTTTTTTACTTGTCATTGTTGAATACTTTTTTGATAATAATGTTGACTAGTATTTTTTAACAGTTTGATTTGACAAATGAATAAAATATTGGATCTACTGTGATTAAGATTTAAAGAAATTATGAAATATAAATTTAACTGTGTGCAGCTTCATACTTGGATTTTCCCCACATTAACTTACCTAATTCGGTTTAAAAGTAATGTACAGTACATACCAGCCAAATAATCAAAGCTAAAATAATGGAGTATGAAACATAACAATTGACAATTTATCAAACTTTAATTTTATATAATTTGTTTAATACAAAATATATTTTTAAATCAATTGGATTAGTGAATCATGAATATGTGGCATTTTTCAAAGAGTCCATGTTTATTCAGCCTGGGGACTTTTGAGCTCATAATCACTCTGTGTCCTGTTCCTCATTCTAATGATATACAACTAACATGATAGGAAATACTACAGTTACAGTATGTGCGAATGACATTTACTCCACAATGCATACTTCTGATTTAATGTTTTCTCTATTTACAACATGGGAAGCTACTGTTATAAATACTACAGTAATAGTGTCTTCGATTTAATGCACTCTATAAATCAAAGTCTAGCCTAGGATTTGTCTCTGTAGATGATAGTAATTCATCAGTTCTTGAAATATTTACATTCTTGAGTTAAACCTTATTTACTGAAGTGAACTGTGATAATTTGCATTGTCTCAGTATGACATGTTTAACTCTGCCAACAATGGGATTCGATCTTGGCCACTTGTGGCCACCTCCTAATTCAGAGCTGTACTGACACACTCCCCAGACAGTGACAATTCCAGCTGCACCAACTACAGCAGAATTCAAACATGTTCAAGGTTTTAATGGGTCGAAGTCACTTTCTCTAACAAGCCCAGTGCCAAATCCTTTTAACAGCTTAAGAAAATTCAACCTCCTGTCTTGGAGGCCAAGGAAAAACAAAAGTCTCATTATACATCAACCTTATACACTATAAAACTATACCCCTATGGCAGTGGTTCTCAAACTATGGTACACGTACCACGAATGGTACCACGAGTGGTATGTGTAGCGCCACCAGGTGGTACGCCATATGACCCTGGAACTTTGTTGTGTGCACTGAAAAATTGGGAGTGGTTTTCATATTTTCTATTTGAATACGTGTCGACTACGCAGCCTACGTACAATGATACAAGGCGCGCTAATACTTGAGTGGACACAAGAGCTACTGTATAATTCTACACCTTTGTACAGGAATGCGTGCTAAGACATAAGTGCCCAATTCTATTTAAAAAACATTATCTCCAGCAATTAGAGAGGTACAGATGCAGCCATTCAAAGTGCCCGGTACAGACACGTACCGGAAGTAATTGGCTACGGTGTCGCGCATTGTGACGCACGATGACGTACGGTACCACGCGGTACCGTGGCACATGATTGGTTGACCGACAGGGGCACTCGTGGTCCGTTGGTCTGTTGTAGAAAGATTTACAGTAAACGTCTTTACTGTGCCCATTGTAGTATTGAATATTTATATGGAATTTTACCACTGAAGGGAAATCTTAGTAGCTGAGCATAAAAAGAATAGGAGCATACTGTAACGCGTGTGAAAGCCATAAACTATATTCATTTCGGAACATAAACATACAGTATATGGCTGGTCTCGGTACTTTAAAGAAAAAATACACACCAGTATTCCATTTCTCCCTTAACATTTTAAGCATCGAAGTCTTTAACTAACGAGATACCGGAGTCAACAAGCATACTTTTAGAATTTGATTAAAAGG